ATAAAAAAAATGTTCATCACTTGTTAAAAAATTTCGTTGATATTTTTCTTCAATTAATTCATAAATTTTACAATGAAATCTTGATAATAATGTAAATGTTTTTTGAATATTAAATGATTTATTAAAATTATTTGATTTTTTTTCATTTTCATTATTATTAATACTTTCTTCTAAATCATGATAAATTAAATATTTTATTTCATCTATAAGTATATCATTTTTATTATATGGATTACTAATAATAATATAACCATCAGAATTTAATGGATTTAAATAACGTTCATCAATATGTTTTAAACGTTGATAAATTTTTTTTCTTACTAATATATCTGTAGCTATTGGAATATCATTTAAAATATCTGTTAATGTTAAATAAATACTTAATAAACCAAGTGAACCATGACGATCAAGTACACGACTAAATTGATTCATTAATTCTTTTTCATACATAACATCAGTTAATTCTAAAGCTAATTTATTTTTATGTAATGATCCATTCATTGTAATAAAATGTGATAGAATTTCAACATTTGTATTTGATTCATTTGTTATGTTTATTTGAATATTATTCATTTGTCGACGTTGAATAGCCGTTGTAAAATAAAGATAAAATAAACGATTTAATGTATTTGGTTGACATATTGTATCAATACCATCGATTAATATTTGACAAACAAATAATTCACATAAAAAATGACGTGAACCTTTACATTCATAAATAAATTTTGGTGTTATTATTGGCATTAAATTAGATATAAGATTTTTTAAATATTTTAATTCTTGTCGACGATTATGCATTGCTATATGAAGATCATCTTTATACATTTTTCGAAGAAATTCTATTGAATCATGTGATGAATGAATTTCTTTTGTATGAATATAACGATCACATGTTTGAAATATTAATGGAAGAAGTCGTTCAACAGTAAAAGCATTGATATCAACCTATATAGTAAAAAACAAAAATATTAACTTTTGAAAAGATTCTCATACTTCTCAGCAATTAAAGTGATTCTTACTGGAAAAAAAGATCAAAGATTTCATCTTGCAAAAAAAAATATAGATTCAACAAATGTATTGACATCTTGAAGGCATACTTTTGAATTCGATTGAAAAATACAATTAAAACAGTGCATGATATGAAAATATCATCTTGTGAACATCTCTGTTCTGCGAGATTGTTTCAGTTCATATATTTTCATATTTGTTATTCTTTTCTGATTAAGAATGTGTGCATTGGCTATTTTTATATGTGATTTTCATAAAAATCTTTTACTGATTCCAGTTCTGATTTCAAAAAATTGAAATTTTTCAATATGTGCCAATACAATATATATCTATATTTGATTTAGTAGCAGTTTAATCATTCCTGTATTTACATATTCACCTTCGGTGATTTTTTACAGTTGCTAAATGATGGTCGAAAAGTGTCGATCTCACTCAGTAAATCGATGATATCTATGACAATGGATCAAAATGTGTAATTTTATAGAAGAAGATTAGAACTATCATCTGAAAAAAGATACTTCGAAATGCACAAATGTAGTAAAACATTATAATCAAATTTACTAATCTTGAATGAATATTTTCATCTTACATTTTTTTATAATAATTGTATGTTTTTCAGTTCACAGAGATTTTTTATCAGAATTATCATTTTAATGGAATAATATTTATCATATTTGTTGATTATGATTGCAGTTTTATAATACTTCAAAGTCAAATAAATGATATATAGCCAAGAGAACATTTGTGAGATATTATTCGACAAGATTTAAATAAACAGAAAGATGTCAAGCAAAGATTTATTGATATATGGAAAAATTTTCGTGTAAAAAGAAATGTGAGAAAATGGTTAACAATATTCGAAAAAGTTTAAAAACAAGGCCAGCACATCACAAAATTGGATTATTGATATTTATGCAAAATATCAATCTGATAAACTTATAGATTATTTTTCTCAAAAACAAAGTAAGATAAAAATATTCTTTAATCTTCCTCTACAAAATTACATATTTCAATTAATTAATCATATATAAGTTTGTCATAGATATCATCGATTTACAGAAAGAAGTTGAAACTTTTTGAACATTCTTTAGTATGAACTCTTTAGTTTTGTTATCGATCTTGTCTAGATTTCAAAAAACAAAAAAATCTTTAATATTGTTGAAAACAAAAGAAAATAAATATAAAAATTTAAACATAATCTTGCAAAACATTGTGTTCAAAACTAGCTATTTCCTAGTCGTGTAGATCCTGAATTTTGATATATTGAAATTGATCAATATAAAATTTTCATCAAAACCGAGAATCGAATAAAGATAATTTCATAGATTCCTAACAACAGAACATAACTGCATATATCCGAAAGACTTTTTATTCGTACTGCATGACAATCATCTTCAAATTATCAAATAGTTTAAACTAAATCAACGTATGTAAATATTACATCGGATGTTTCACATAATAATATAGACAAAGACATATATGCATTCGCATTCTTTGAGAATAGAATGTTTAAGAACAAGAACTCTAATCTTACATTATGTAAACGACGAATAACTGTTGCTAAAAGATATCGAAAAACATGTTTGGCTTCATAAACAAGACTATCATCCTGAGTAATCGTTCTAAAAAGAAAAATAGATCCTTTAATTAAATTTTAATTTTTATCATCATGAATACGTACGATAACCATGGATATATATGATCTCGAAGACATAGACAACAAAACTACAAAAAAAAAAAACTCGATTTTAAATTGTTTAATTAAAGGAAAAAAAATACTAATCACTTACACGATCAATAGCTGTATCAATTTGTTTAGAAATCATTAAATGAACCCAAGGATTCTGTTGTATATAAACACAGTTTGCACTTTATATAGAAGAAAAAGCTAATATAAAATAAAATAATAGAAATAATTACTTTTGTTTGCGTAGATGTTCTTCTTTTAAATTCTAAAGAAGAATTTATTTATGTTATTTTTATTATCAAAAAATATTATACCTTCGTTGTATCAAAAAATACAATTAAATTTGGCCAAAATGTAAAAGATTTTTCTGGATTATTTAAGTTCAATCTAATTTATAAATTTTAATTAAATAAAATCAAAAAAAAAATGTAATAAAATCTTTACATACACATAATAATCAGTTAATTTGTAACTGATTACTAATAGAAGAACGAAGAAGACAACATGTATTTTTCTATATTAAAATTACAAGAGAGAAATTCTTTATATTCTTTTTTTTTTTTTAACTTTTAAATAACGTACCCAAATAAAAGAAAAATAAGCAGAAGAAAAATAGTTATGCCTATACCAAGAATAATTCGTTGAATATTATCTTCTGTCGTTAGTTTCTCTTTATCCATCTAAAAAATGTATATCAGAAATCAATTTTATTTTATTTCTTTCATTCTTCTTTCTATTTAATAATTTAGAATCAAAATAATTAATATTAGTTTTTTATAAAAAAGATAAAAAATGCAATCTATTTTTTTTTGTCCGCTAGAAGAACTTCTCGTACACGTTCATCGGCTTGAGCTAAAGGTGATTTTTCAGCTTCTTTCCATTCTTTAGCTAATTGTTCTGCAGCCCATTTTGTATTCGACCATTTTTCTGCAAATTTTCCTGATAAGATATTATCATGTAGAATACGTTGAAATTTTTCACGTAGTTCTTTTCCATCATAACGATTTACTGTTGATAATTGACCATATTGACTTGTTTGTGAATGATGTTTTAATTGTTTGAAAAGGCCTTCATCAGCAACACGTTCAAATGTTTCAGCTGGTTCTTTACTTATATACATATCAAATAAAATAGCTTCATCAGAAAATCCAGCTGCATGTAAAACATTATAGGCTTCACGAAATACTGCCATAATTTCAGGCCAAATTGCTTGTTCAGCAAATAAATCAATGCCAGCTTCTTCACGACATGATGAACTAACAGCACCATTACCTCGTGATCCTCCAATAGCACAAGTAACTGAAAGACATGTTGCTAAAGCTTTACCACTAACATCTTTTTCAACAGATACAAAACATGGATATGGAATGTTTTGAACATAACGATCACGTACACCAGCACCAATCATTCGTGGTGCAACCATAACAACATCCATATCATCAGGTAGATCAAGTAAATTAAATGCAACATTATATCCACTTGCAACAACTAACGTACTATTTGGTTTAACATTCTTACGAACTTTTTCATTCCAAACTGTTTGCTGAACTTCATCAGGAATAAGTAACATAAGAATATCACCTTGACGAACTGCTTCTTCAATACTTACTGGATTAAATCCATCTTTACGAGCTTGTTTAGCATAATCATCATCAATATTACCAATGATGATATTCTTCACATCACTATCACGTAAATTTAATGCTTGTGCACGGCCTTGATTGCCATAACCAATAAATGCAACAGTTTTACTACGTACAATATTCAAATCAGCATCATTATCGTGGTAAATTTTAACTGGCATTCTACAAAATAAAATCTATTGAAACAAAAAACAAAAAAAGAGTATAATAGTAGGTGCTAAATTTCAGTATGCCCTTCACCTTTTCGACTCACAAAAAATATGAAACAACACTCGAACCACTTACTTGCTTATCTATATCAATTTAAATAGAAGAAAAAAAAAAGGGGGGAGAAGGGGTATGGTTTATGTATGTGCTTATTGTGATGTGGATTGAAAAGAAAAAAAAAGCGTCGAAGAACATGGCGAGATAAAACAATGCACAGGTACATAAAAGGCATGTTTCACCTTGTTGAAAAGAAAAAAGAGAAAATTAAATAAGATATACAAGTTAAAAGTTCATTTTTTGCAAGCTAGTATATTTGTTTGTTTAAAATTTGCTTGTTTTTTATCATGACAAATATGCATAATAGAACAAAAGACACTGTTTAATTAGAATGCGAGAGAATAGAAGTCAAAAAAAAAAATTATTGTTTGTTTTTTTCTCTTATGTACATTTAATGTTTATGCATTTGATTGATTTTGTGTTGATGGGTGTTGTAAATTAATCTGTATGTCTTGTTCTGATATTGGTGGATCAGGTACTGTTGATGCACGTTGATCAATAAAATCATTAAATGCATGTGTTGTACCACCTTGTTGATGAGAATTATTATCTATATTATTGCCACCTGAAATGTTTAACCATTGTTCCACTTCTTTAACATCACGTTCAGGATCCTAAAAGAAAATAAAAAATTTTTTTTTTTTTTAATTAATTTAAAAAAATTCTTTTCTTACTTGATGATTTGAAACAGGTCGAGTTGTTACTGAAGCACTAAAAAATATTAAACTTAATTATTTATGAAGAATAAAATTAAAGTGAAATCTTTGTGTGTGTGCAAAAAAGAATAGCAAAATTTTAGTATTTTTTTTTGGCTCATGAAAAGGACACAAAAAATGAAAAACGTAGGTTAACAACAAAGAGCATAATATAATCTTACGAATGAATACTCATATATCTTCTTTAAGAAGAAAATATTGATAAAAATTATTTTTTTGTGAAAAATATTATTTGTATCACTTACGTTGATTGTGGTGGAGTATGTTTTGGTATTGCATCGGATAATGTTGAATTAATATCTAAAATATAAAAAGAAAGTTTTTGTTTCTTTTTTTGTCTTTTTTGTTGAGAAAATAAAAAATTCAATACGAACTCATATGTTGTAAATTAATTGGTAATGTTGATGATTCTTCATCAAATTTGATTAATGCTGGTTCATTATCTTGATTACGTGGTAAAGAAGATGATGTCTGAAAAAAAAAACACATACACACAACAAATCAGCAAAATGATTTTAACTTTCAAAAAAAAAACAATAGAGAATATATATATATATATATATATATACCTTTGATGTTGATGATGGAGAAGTTGAGATTACACTTCGAGGTGTTGATGCTGTTTGATTTGATATTGGCATTGAAGGTGGACCAACTCGTCTTTCACGTTCTAACATATAATTTTCGAAGGTTTTTAATACATTATTAAATTCATCATTATAACGTAAAAGATCAACTATAAAAAAAAACAATAGGAAAATATTTATTTGATAAATAAATATTTTCGTATTATCTACCAGTCATATCATCAATGGAAACTTGTGAAAGTAAATCGATAATACGTGCTTGCATTTGTATACATGTTTTATGTAATTCCTAAGAGAAAAAAATTTTGTTTTAGACAATATTAAGAATATTATCGAACAAGTAAATCTAAGTATACGATCTACAGACATTAATAAAAAAAAAAAACTTATTCGAACATTCATTTGTTGTTATTGATATTTCTTGATTTTTTATAGTCACAAGAAAATATTTAATGATTCTATTTTCATAAACCACCAACCCAATGTTAAAATGAAAGTGCACCTACATATGAAAGAGGAAAGAATCTTAAATTAGTTTGGTGCTGCCTTTAGAAAGAAAACGGAATGAAACTACACATGAGGGAGACCAGTTGTTTTCGGTTTCGGCAAATCCGAAACCACCTTGCCCATGAGTCATGACAATATGACAGTCGACGCAAGTTTTATACGATCATAAAAATCATTTCCCAATGGAAAAGTGTTGCTCCTAGTTCCAACCAAAAAAATTTGGTCCCAGGACCATCTTGCCCAGATCAATGTGAAACCTATTCGACAGGAGTAAGAGATATATATAGTCTTTTATGCACAAATTAAAAAGACAATATCCAGATATAGATTTCAGCGGCTGTATATAGAAGTGTTAACCGATGCTTTAATTCACGGCTGAAAAATTTCAAATTATTTTTGCCTTTCAGTGGCGGCTTAGATCTTTAACTGTGTATATTATTGAAAGATAAGATTAAATCTTCAAAGTTTTAGTTTCTGATCCATAAATTTTATTTATTCCTTTCGGCACTTTTGGATCTCAGTGAGTAGAGCAAAAGTTGTCAAAAGCTCGAAATTTCCGGATGCTTCCCTATAGGACATATGGAAAAAAAATACCTCCCCCTTTTCTCAGTTACAATATGTTTGATAGAACTAAAAACATCTTTTTTTATTGATATTAGGTACCGTTTGGTTTGCCTACTATTTTTCTTCTTCTGTTTGAATACAAATACGAAAACCTTGAGAGAATCCTCAAAAGTGCATTTTTTTTTAAATGAATTTTTTGTAAGCCCTGGCACAAGCGAGTGATACATCATACTATAAAATTAAAATAAAAAAAACTTAGGCATCCTAAACACTTTCTAGTATAAGTAGAAGAATATTTCAGCTCGACTAAATATATTGCGGTTAAGAAACGGAGGCAATTCTTGACATATTTTTGTCAAAAAACAAGCTAATTAATGTGTAAATTTTATTGTTTTCCAATGAAAATGTTTCATCTTTTCCTACTTTTATAGTTATATATTAATTCTTAAACTATGTTCATTAGATAGAAGATACTTCAACGTGTCTATGGAATAAAGAAAAACAAATTTCAGTCGCGTCTCTTTAACCTCTCTCACAATGTGATCTTTGTTCTTTTTTTTAGAAAACTACCTATCTTTACGGATTCCGGTTAAAATATTAATATTGCAAATAACTAGATATATTATTAAATTCTTTGAGCAAGATAAGTTTTAGAAAAAAGTGAAAAACATAATAAAACAGTTTTAATAAAAACAAAAACTGCGAATTATTTTATTCTTAATATATGAATATATCGCTAATGTTAAATTATTCACAAAATCAATCTCAAATACTTACTTTTCAAAAAAATCACTTACTTGTATTTGCCTAATCCTGTCAACGAACAAATCATTAAAAAAAATAGTCATATGTAATTTTCATAATATTTTACGGAAATATATAACATCTATTGGAAGCTGGACAGTTACACGTGGATGTGGGTATCGGAACCAGAAATCCACGAGTCAGCCTCGCGCTCTGATGCAACATTGAGCAAGCTTGTAAGAAGAGTGTGCTACGCCATCCTATGGTTTAGGATGTTCTAGGAAGACATTGAAGAAACGAATTAGCTATGCCGCGAGACTGACTCACAGATCTCTGGCTGGCACTGTAGGTAGGAGTGCTGCTATGAGTTTTCTCTTTATACACATCCATATGGGCAACTGTCCTAGATCCCTTTTATTTTAGCACAAAAAAAATTAGTAAGCATCATAGAATGTGAAGTTGAGTTTTGTTTTTCTTATATTCTAAATAGTTATTATTCCTCTCAATGGTCAATTTTATCAGTTATTTTGATGAAGCATCGAAAGTAAAAATTTATAACGTCAGACATAAATCAAAAATTATAAAAATAAATTTCTTACCAATAATAAATCTAAATCTTGTGGATGTTCTTCACCCGGTTGTAATGTAACCAACATTTCACCAAATACTTGTATATTATTTTGCACAACATCTAATTCACTACGTAATTTAGCTATTTGCTCCGCTGTCATTTGTCTTAAAACCAAATGTTCTTGAGTACCTTGTTGGGTTGAAGTATCCGACATCGATCGATTCTAAACAAAATTTATTACAAATAAAAAAAACAAAAATTCAAATTAATTTAATTACTTGACGATGTGTTGTACCAGCTGCTGGTTGAGACTATAGAACAAAAAAAATATCTAATAAAAAGATAAATATTTTTTATCTTACTATTGATCGCGAATATTGTGCAGGACGTTCAATTGTTCCCTAAATTTTTATAAAATAAAAAACAAAAAAAAGAATTTATTTCTTTAAATTTACTGTAGCTGGTACTGCTGCTTTAATTATATTTTCAGGTTCAGCTGGTGGAAATTCTAAACCTTGTTGTTTACATTCTTCATAAAAATGTTCAACATTAATTAAATCAGGATCATCATGAAAAGCTAATGCCCATGTCTAAATAAAATAATTATTTTAAATAAAGAATTTTTAAATTTTGTTTTTTTACTTGAATCATGCCAAGAATTTTTTCTTGTATAGCTTGCGGTGGATTATTTTTCGGAGCAAGAACAGCTTTAAAATCTTTTAAAAAATCTTTTTGTGCTATTTGTAAATGAAAAACTTTTCCACAATTTTTTGTTAGTGCTTCTAATAACTAGAAAAATTAAAAAACAAAAAATTATTTTATAAAAAATTTCCTAATTAATTAATATACAGTAAGTGTTAATCCAATAGTACGCCATCCATTTGTAAGAGGGTTTATTTGTAAACGTTTTCGAATAACTTTTATTGCTTCTTTTGCACTAATAAATAACAAAAAAATTAATTTATTTGAAATTTTATTTCAAATAACAAAATACCTTTCTTCATGCATTACAACATGATCACAAATTTTCATAATTAAAGCCCAATCTTCAGTTGGTTGATTTCCATCAGTAGCTTTTTCAATAGCTTGTTGAAATGGTGTTGATAATATATTTCCGCGAAAGAAACTTGCCATTTGTTGATAGAAATTTTCAACGAAATATGCAAATGTTTTTTTATGATTAATATAATCGACGTTGAATAACAGATGGTAGAGGCCAAATGAATATTGTAAGTATCAAAAAAATGACAAGACCATAGAATGAAAGGACTGAAAAAACAACAACAAATTACATCAAATAAAAAAGCGATGAATCATCTAGATCGTAGCTATCTTTAATTGTATTGGTCGATTAATCTCAACCAACTAAATGTATTAAATAAAAGTTTTTCATTTTGTGTGAATACACTTCCGTTCTTAAAGAAAATATTTTTTTTTTCTTTTTACATTTCTGATTAGCAAGCTTTTTTATCAGTATGGAATAAAAAGTAGAAGATAAGCCTAAATGACGAATGATTGAAGGTGTTTATTCAAGTGTCAATATAAATAGAAATTGTCACATGAGTAAAGGGTGTTCCGGGCCACCAGGTTTGAGTGAAAATGACTCAAATGGTCGATTGAAAGAATTTTGCTAAAATTGACTGAATTTTAAGTGAAGGAGTTGAACGCTTTTTTGGGAAGTGATGAACACAATAAAATATTGAAACTCTGCTGGAAAAAAACGAAAGTTTTTCAAGATTGGGAGTTACTCCCTACTCGCTTGGAACTTCTGTATATGGGAATTTTTCACTTGACTGTTTTTATGTGTGAAAATAAAGTCTCTTCAAGATACGATACTTACAAGATATAGGCCCTTCTATATGGACAATGTATACAACATACATTTTTTTTGAAAGTTTCAAAATGTCGAAGAGACTTTGTTCAAAACTTCTGAATTTTTTTTATGGAACTTAGTCTAGTTAAGTTCTCTATATATGTGCAAAGTTTCAGATCAAAATTCGAAAATAGACATATTAAAAATTCGATAACTTAGTCCAATATCCATAGGAATCCAAATTCTTTTAGGATTTTTATTTGAATACTATATAGTATAATCCTAGTACGATTTCACATATGTTGAGAACTCACAAAACGGAAACTAAAGGATGATCGAAAAATTTTGACTCCTCTCAATAAATTGATGATATCTATGACACACTAATATATAATTTTAATTTATCGAACTATGTAATTTTATAGAGGAACATTAGAGTTATCATCTGACAAATAGATACTTCGAAATGTAGTACAATATTATCGTCATTTTACTAATCATAAGTGAATATGTTCATCTTACATTTTTTTTTATTAGAATTGAATGTTAGTTACTCACAGAGATTTTGTATCAGACTTCTATATTAATACTCTTATTTTATGAAGTTTACTGATTTTCAATTTATTCTCTAATATGCCAATTACTTGCAATTATCTATTCGACAGTTTTATTAAAAAAACCTCCAGTATTTATTTCAAAATCAAATAGATGATATATATAGTCGATAAAAAAATTTGTGAGGTATCATTCGACAAGATTTAAATACGAAAACGTCAAACAAAAAATTTAGTTTAAAAAAAAAATGTAAGAAAATGATTAACAGTATTTGAAAAACAAGGTCAACATATTACAAAATTTGATTATTGATATTTATGCAAAATGTTAATTTGATAAACTTCTACATCATTTAGATATATTTCGATCAAATGATCATCATATAGGTTTGTCATAGATATCGTCGACTTATGTACTAAGAGAGATCGAAACTTTTTGACCATCCTTTAGTTTTAAAAGACGATTAGAAATTGATATACATATGAATATAGAATGTTTCAATAGGTTTTTATGTTGTAATTGAATAGTATTTTCATAAAACTTTCGTACAAACTTATTTTCAATGCTGGAATTTAACCGAAGTTGAATGAATATTTATAGCACAGTAAAAGAGAAAATGATTTTGAAACAGAATGTTTCAAGTAATATTTTCAAAATATTAATTATAAATATAACTGAACGTTAGAATACACAAAAAGAAAAAATTAATTTCGAATATATCAATTTTTACGTTTAATTTTTATCACATTCTTATACGATCAATAATATTAGATTTCTTTCAGAAACAATAAGTTAAGCTAATTGCAAAAGACACATATTTTTTGTAGACCGATTCTTGGTTAACAGATATTTAATAAGTCTAGTAGTCAACAGTTCATCATCTACGCTGATTTCGAATATGAATATGAGACGGGTCGCTAGGTGTTTCAGTGATCGCTCATTTTTAGAAAAGCAGTTTTCTATAGTGAAAATTTTTTCTTTTCAATTTTTCAGCAATCATTTTATCTGCAAAACCAGACTCCTTAGATTTTCTAAGTTTTCTATAGAAGTAGTGTAGATTTGTTGATTTACTTGCAACGTAACGTTACTTTTTAGAGAAGTCATACTCAAATGATAAAGTAACATACCTCTATGTTCATTAGAGTGTATTTATCTATGAAATGGTTGCTAATGGATAATAAATCAAAGAAAGACATCTGTCGTGCGAAAACTTACAGTATGTCGATTTCTTACCTAGTAGAAGACTCACAACGAAAACAATAGCTCAAGTGAATTCAATTTTTCATTGTTGTTCTCATATTGATTCGACATTTCTTACAATAACAAATGAAAAGTGAAATATACTATCGATCAAGAAAGCAATAATGTTAAAGAGATGTTGAGCAAGATCATCTTCACATTGAAATATATTAGTGAGATTGATTTTCAAATTTTTGTTATTCATCAAATCTGGAAAGGTCGGAGACAATGCTTGAACAATTCATACAAAACTAAAACTGAAAGATAGAAATAGGAAATTAGTGTTATTAGAATTGCCTCATCATGATAAATAAAACATGCCTGCTAGTTAATAGTAAACAGATATGTTCAAAAGAGAAGAGAAGGTTTTGTTTTGTGATTTTATGAATGTACGTATATAGAAAGCATCTAGAAAAAGAAAAATAAATTATTAAAGATAAAATAGATGAGATAGGATTATAGAGCAAATAATGTAAGTTTTCGACAAACATGAAATGTTAACTTCTAGTATTAAGAAAATGAACTAATCAAGCATTTTTACAGACTTGAATACCTTTGGTCATATGGATTCTATTAAAAACAAAAAGTAAAATAATAGTATAAAATATGGACGATCTCTCCTCTCATCTTTTTTTTCAAGCATACTTTCCGAAGTCAACCGATGATCAAAAATCGAGAAAAAAATTTTTTGTCATACAACTTGATATGCTTCACAATCGAGATACATCGAAAACAGATTTTCTGAAAAATTCGGTCCTTAAAAGGCTTCGTAACCTAATTCATATTTGAAATCAACATATGCAAACATATGTTGTTCGCTAGGTTTCAGCTCAAAATCGATTTTCAACTTGGAAAAATTCCCTTGCAAATCTTTTACACTTATCACATTAGTAGATCTTCATTCAATTCAGAATATTAAATGAATATGGCAACATTATGAAAGAACATATATGTGAACAGTATATCGTTAACTAACGATAACTATTCATAGTTTCCTTCCACTATTTATAACATAAATATAATATGGAGTTGACTTTAGGATCACGCCAGTTTTTTTTTTTGTCTGACCTCATACAACCTCGAAAACATTTCAAATAACTTTAAATACACATTAAAAAAAGATAAGAAGAAGAAAAAAAAGAACAGTTATTAATTTAATATTTTTGTGCACGAATAGAACAAAAAGAGATTTTTTCATCTGCTAAGTACATCAAAAACTAAATTTAACTGCATTACTATATTATGTATTAACTACTTTTTTCATATACAATCAAAAACTATTCAATTTACAATTTATTTCAACATGATACAAACATTATTATCTGAAATTTTGAATTTCTTTACATTATCTATTACAAAATTAACAACTAACAGTATTATTTTAGTCATACTTCTTTTATTATTAATCATAATATATTACATATCTTATACTAAACCTTCAAATGCTCCACCATGTTTTCCTATATTATTATCAATTTTATGTCGTAAATATGATTTTATAAATAAAGGTCCACTTGAACTTATTCAAGATGGTTATAAATCATTAGGTGATATATTTCAAATACGATTATTTCATCGATCTGTTGTATTTTTAATTGGTCCACAAGCACATAAAATATTTTTTGAAGCAAAAGATACACAATTATCTCAACGTGAAGTTTATATATTTACAATACCTGTATTTGGTAAAAATATTGTTTATGATGCATCACCAAAAATAATGCAACAACAATTAAAATTTATGAATAAAGGTTTAAATTTAATACATATGAAAGCTCATGTTGGTAAAATTGTTATGGAAGCTGAAGAATGGTTTAATAAATGGCCTCAAACAGGACAAATTGATTTAATAAAAGAATTTTCTGAATTAATCATTTTAACAGCTTCTCGATGTTTATTAGGTAAAGAAATTCGTGAAAATATTCATCAAGAATTTGCACATTTATATCAACAATTATCTGATGGTATGAGTCATTTATCATTCTTTTTTCCAAATGCTCCAACAAATGCACATAAAAAACGAAATTTAGCTCGAATTAAAATATCAAAAATATTTGAAAAAATTATTAAACAACGTCGAATAAATCAAGAAATTCAATATGATGATTTTTTACAAGTATTAATTGATGCACGATATTTAGATGATTCAATACCAACCGATGATGAAATAACTGGATTATTATTAGCAGCTTTATTTGCTGGACAACATACTTCAAATATTACGAGTACTTGGATGGGATTATTATTAATAAAATATAAATCAAAATGGATGTCGAAATTATTAGATGAACAAAAACAAATAATGAATAAATATCATGGAGAATTATCATTAGAATCCTTATCTGAAATGAATTTATTACATGCTGTTATGAAAGAAACATTAAGATTATATCCTCCATTAGTATTTTTAATGAGAAAAGTATTAGAATCAATATCATATAATGGATATATTATATCAAAAGGTGATATTGCTGTTGTATCACCATCAATTGCACATCGAATATCTGATGTTTTTAAAAATCCTGATGAATTTAATCCAGAAAGATTTTTAGGTGAAAATGCTGAAGATCAAATTGAAAAATTTAGTTTTATAGCATTTGGTGGTGGTCGACATAGTTGTTTAGGTGAAAGATTTGCTTATTTACAAGTAAAAACTATATGGTCAATATTATTAAGAAAATTTGATTTTGAACTTTGTCAAGAACATCCTGAACCAGATTATTCAACACTTGTTGTTGGACCTAAAGCACCATGTATGGTTAAATTTAAACGTAAAATAGATTCATTTTAGAATTTCAAATTCTTGTTAGAATAAACAAAAAAGAAAAATAGAAAAAGATAAATTTAAAAAAAAAATGAAGAAATAGAAACAAATGTTTATTAAGATTATAATATAAAAAAAAAGAAAAATTAAACAAAAGATTATCTTCTTTTGCTTGAAAGAATTGTTTATCCTTTTTGAAATAGATTCACATAATTGGACAAGCAGGACTTGGATAACATGGTCTAATAGGTTTTCTGAAAAGGAAAAAAAAAAGAAGAACATATGAAGATCATGCTTTAAAATTAAATTTGTGATTCACACATTAATAAAAAAAAAAAACGAAGAAGACAGAAACAAATACAAACGCGTAGCCAGCAAGCTAGCCAAAGCAAGAAAATGTATTGCTCAAGATAGACATCCTTGATGACAAGATCGACCTTGTCAAGCATAATTTATTCCCTTAACTAAATACAATACCTTCACAATAAATTCAGGGTTGGAACGATTGATAGGCAGTTGATGGTCCCGATAATATTGATTAACCATGTTAACCACCGAAGGACGGCTGCGCATAGGAACCACCAAATGTAGGTTGTCGAGTAGATGATGCTGATGATCTACTTGTGCTCGTACTAGATGAACTAATATCTCCTCTTGCATATGAAGTTTGTGGTATGTTTATGGGTGGTTGTAATGGTACATTTGATGAGAATGTAGAAGGTGGTAACGGTAAATTTGATGAATATGAAGAAATGGGTCGTGGTAAATTTGATGAGAATCTAGGTACTGATGGGGCTCGTACATTTCGATAACGTGTAGGTGATAATGCCATTTGCTCCGCCTCTAGTCGTCGAAAATCAGATAGCAGCTGAGCACGTTGGTGCATTTGTTGTCGAATATCATCAAAATTTGTTAGAGTTGATGGGTAACGACTTGATCGAGGAAGTGGACCACGTATCATACCTTGCGACGGTTCACATGGCTCAAATGGAAGAAGTAAGCCACCTGGAGTAAGTGGTACGATTGGCATGGATGCCGACCGTGTTGGAGCATTGGTTAATAAAGGACTATAAACACGAGATATCTGTTTTGGAATAGTAACCAATCATGAAATGTTTCTTTTTCAAGCAATAACTTAGCAGCAACTTTCTTTTCAAATAGATCATTCCATATATCAGAGAAAAAAGTTTCTTTTTTTTTCGTGCTTTGACAAGCAACAAAAGCGTAATTAAGCAGGCACTGGTAATAGCAATTAGCAATAGAAAAAAAACAAAGAATTTACCTTGTAGTGCAAACCATTGGTGGTTGTGCAGGTGTACAAATCATTGGTTGTTCTGCTACTGGAGCATTAACGGTGCATACTACAGGTAACGGTAAACCAGTTCTTTTAGATAAAGTCTAAAATTACATCATTAGATTCATATGAAATTTATTAAGTCAATGAAAATTTATACTTGTATAAGAGCTTGACGAAACATGCTTGGTCCAGGTGGTGACTGTGGTATTGGTATAGCACGGGCACAACATACTGTTGCGCAGGGTGGCTGACTTACGGGTGCAGCAGGTGCACAACATACTGTTGCGCAGGATGGCTGACTTACGGGTGCAGCAGGTGCACAACATACTGTTGCACAAGATGGTCGATTTAATGTTATAGTAGGAGTACTTGTACAAACTAGTTGTTGCTTTTGAACTGGTAAAGCGACGGAATCACATGGACGTTGACAAATAACTTGTGGGTTAACTAAAATAGACAAGAAAATAAAATAAAATATTACATAATTATGTATTTTACTTATAGTTAAATAAATAAAACAATTAGAAAACAGATATATATATATATTTGTATTAGTATTCTAATCAATAACTATCATAACAAAAGAAGATTTTTAATTACTTCTTACCTGTAACATTTGGTGTACAAACTAAAATAAACAGTATTAATTGTTAATACAGGAGAATTAAAAGAAAATAATATTTGTACTTTGAATAGTTGGTGGTGCCTGAAGAGCTTGTGGAGTAGTTGAACATATTTGAAAGCATTGTGCAGCTGGTGATTGTGAAGGTGAAATAATTTGCATTTGAGGTGGCTGTTGAATAAAAATACTTGATGTTGTTGGACATGGTGTTTGTGATACACATATAAAAGATTGTGGTGATGAATTTGTTGATAATGACTGACAAATACATATTTGTGATGTATTATCAACACAAGCATATTGTTGTGGTAATGTTTGTTGAATAATATTGTTAGGTGATGATGTACAAATAAAATTTTGTGATGGCATTTGATCAGTATATACGATTACTTGTGGTTGTTGTTGTTGAGGAAAACAAACCATTGGGTCACATTGTTGAATTACCTGAATAAAATAAAAATTTTAAAAAAGAAAAATAAAGATTTATGAAAGCATAAGTAAATAAATAAAACAAAAAATGTTAAATCTTTATAATATAGCTGTTTTCTTTTTCATACACAAGGATTTGATGGACAAGTAATTGTCGTCGATGGATTACAACAACTATCGTCAATATAGATACGTTCAGTTTGTTGAACACAACATGGAGTAGGTTGAGTACAAATCATTGAAGAATAATTACTAACTTGAGCTTCACTTGTAGGTGCTGCTCGTTGAGATACGAGCTTATTTTCAATAGTTTTTAATGGAATATTTCCTCGACTGGTTTTCTATAGAATATAATTGGATTCAAAAATGAATAGTAATATAAAATAAAAAAGAAAATGAATCAATAACTTACTTTTTTTTTATCTTTATCAGATAAGACTAACTGAGAATTGCTCTTGGATATGATTGATGGTTGAATGTTAACATCACGATAGACAGCTAAAGGTACTTTTTGATTATCGATTAATGTTGTTTTATGAGAAAGTTTTGTTAAACCATTCGTATTATTTGTACAATTATTATTATTAGATACTTTAGGACGGATAATCCTTAATTGTTGATCTTGATGAATAGATTTTGAATTCTTAATTGTAACTTTTGATGGAGAAAGAATTTTTTGTTGTTGTCCTACACATTTTGTTCGCTGTCGATAATTATGATGATGATGATGACGATGATGTTTATGTTTAGGATGCCATTTCGTTTTTGTTAATGTATCTTTTGATGATTTTTCAACTGAAGATACTTTCGTTTGTTTATTTATTGTTGAAGATGAACTGCTCATTGATATCTAACAAACAGAATTTTATTATGAAATTTTTTTTTTCAATAAAATCAAATGCATAATAAAATTACAAAGCTAATGGGAAAAAACAAAGCTGAACTCTATTTTGAAAACATAGCTGATTGTATAGTTTGAATATTAATTCTTTTTGCTATTTATATTAAGCAGTAGATATATTCGAGTAAAAAGCATATATGTACATGAATAAAAGACTATTCACTTACTGATGATGATTGTATATCATTATTGACATGTATATGTGAAGTACCTTCAACTTCTTCATGATTTTTTGCTAAATAAATTATAAAATAGTTAAAGGTCTTTTTTAAATTACGAAATCTTTACATCGTTGTTGTTGTTCATCACCTTTCATTGTTACTGATTTTATCATGGTCATATCTGTATTCATAGATGTTAAAGATTGATTTGATGTCCATGATGAATATTTTTTCAACATGATTATGTGTATATTCGAAGTAGTTGATTCTAACCACTACAGTGTACAGCTCATTGGTATATATTCAAAATGAATCTTGTTTACAGAAATATATATATATATATATATATATATATGTTCTAATCGATACGACTCAATATGATGAAGGTTGTACAAATGTACATTTTTGAATAATGCGAAAAAAAAAATGAGAATACTAATGTGAACAACACACACGGCAAAAACGTTGAAGTAGAACGAATAATAATCAAGGATATCAAAAGGTGTACATATTAATACTTATGATAGATTCTTTGCTTTCTTTTTTTTTTTATTTTGATATGCAAGAAGAGGAATATTATAATTATACTAGAGACATATCAAATAATTGTTCATTTTTCATCATTGACATTGATATAAAATGTTTATATTCTCTAGTATCAATTGTCATAAAAAAAAATTTTTTAGTGTTTGACTTTATGGCTTCATACTGAATGGCCTGTCTGACGATGTTCATTTATTTATCACTTATGAATGTGAATACATGTCATAAATGATGAGATGATGTTCGTTTTGTCTATTGTGTTCACGATTAACTTGTTTTAATGATATATGAACGCGCAATTGTCATCAATAAATATGAAAAAAATGTTTTTGCTTCTTCGTTCTCTTAACGATCTAGTTGAACGAATCGATGAAAAGACAAAAAATGAACTTTGAACATTAAAATTGTCTCTTTTGTTTTGTTTTATTTTTTTTTTCGTTATCATTTTGATACAATTAATATATAGGTAATATATTTGATCAATCAATGTTGACCTTATTTTACGCGTTCATCCGCCCCCCTATTCATTTTTCCTTATCGATCAAATATTAGCGTACTTGTTATAAAGCAAAAGAGAAGAAGAAGGAGGAGGAGAACGAGGAAAACAAGATTACATACCAATGTCTACAAAAGAAAATACATTCATTTGAATGAACATTCTAGTCAATATGTGTATATAAAATTAACAAGAATATTTCCATTCTATTTTTTTTTTTTGTAATTCGGAAATGTATTTGTTAATTAGAATGTGAACAACAAAATCACAGTATGATGCATTATTACGATCTGTGTTTATTATTTGACAAATAAAGGAAATGAATGCAGAGAAAAAAAAAAACAAGTTCAACATCTAATCAGAATTAGATTTTTTTCTTCTCATTAATGATAATGGCATTATTCCAAGAACTAGTCCACACATAAGAATGAACTTTTCATTATCAAACAAACGTTTAGAAAATGTTATTCAAATAACGAATAGTATATTTCCATTAATTATTTTACCGCTAGCAACAGTTGGTAATTTATTATGTTTTCTTGTTTTTTGTCGACCAATATTTCAAAAACGTTTAACACGTACATCATCAATATGTCTACGTTTATTATGTATAAATGATTTAATTTTATTATATTTATTTATAATTGATGTTTTATTGAAAATTTATATGGAACCACCAAAACGTATTTATTCAACGCCAGAAACATGTCGTTTATATAAATTTATTCGTTATTCATTTTTGGATATGTCAGCTTATTTACAATTAGGTTTAACAACTGATCGTTTTATATGTTGTGTTCATCATACATATTATTCACATTGGCGTAAAAAAAATTATCTATATTATTTATTAATTACAGCATTTATATTAATTGTTTTAAAAAATATATCATTTTTATCTTCATTATATGGTTATACAATGTCAACTCATAAACGTAATATAACTAAATGTTCAGTTAAAATTGAAGCAAAACATTTTGCAATGTATATGGCTTATGGACAATCATTAATTGATGTTATTTTTATAACTTGTATACCATTTTTTCTTATAGTTTATTTTAATTCAAGAATTTTAAAAGAAGTATTAAATTTACGTCCTACATGTTGGAGTACATTAACAAAAATAATACATTTAAAACCAGGACAAAATCAAGATTCAAATCGATCTACAACTGTTGTATTAACATGTTCTCGTTCTAAACATCGTCGTCTTCATTTAACATTTGCACTTGGTTGTATATCATTTGTATTTGTACTTAGTACAGCACCATACAAATTTTTTAAAATTGTTGAAAGACATGATAAAGTTATACGTGATCATCAAAAAAATCGAGTATCAAAATCAGTTCAACTACAATTAGCTGAACTTATTATTGATTGTCTTCAATATTTTTCATGTTCAACACCTTTTTTTGTTTGTTTAACTACATCAAGCATGTTTAGAGAGGAGTTACGTCTTTTATTTCAATAAAAATACGAAAATATATATAAAAAAAAAAAGAAAAAAAAACTCATCAGTGCAGCTTCTTCTAGTGTTAAAATGTAGAACTCACAAATTGTGACTTTTGTAAACTTATGGTATATTTTGTCAAAGATTTTAAAATAATTTCTTCGAAAAACAAAATGCCAATTAAATGAGTAAAATAAAATTATAACCAGTTTTATAGTTGATCGGTACACTTTGAAATTTTCTCATTTCGAAACGATTTGCATTTAGAGTTACTTTTCTACCAATTTATTTGAATCATTTAACATTATTATGCTGCAAAAACTTATTTGTAGTGTCAAATACATCTTCAATACATAACTGCTTTCCTCGTAATGATAATATATATATATATGATAGAGACTATAGAAAGCAGTAAATAATATTTTTACTTTTCGTTTCGTCGGTTTAACTACCATATTAGCCTACTATACATATTGATTTATTCATTCAATAAGCTACAGTGCGCACACCATCCTTTCTCTCGACGAACTTTGACATATAGTGTTGAGTTTTGCCTAAATTTAGAATGCATTCTGTTCACACTTTTCTATTCTCAACTTATTTTGATTTCACAAGATCAAAGATATTACGATCATACTGATTGACTCGTACAAGAAGATTCTTTTGCTGCATGAAAAATGAGAATCTGATATATTTAGACCAGTTAGCATCTACAGAGTTCCAGAATGATCTAAATACTGATGTTATTTACGTACCTTTTTCCATTGCTAAAATGACATAGCCGATAATTTTTGGTCTCCCTTCCCCGTTGCTACGGATACATATCGAAAGATCTTTGGTTTCTGGTCATCTGGTTGCTAGGACCTAGGAGGGAGCCGCAAAAATTTCGATTTAAACTTAGACTCTCTGTTATTTTCGAAGAAAATATACATAAATTTTACAAGAAAAACATTGTAGATCGAAAATTTGACTACTGAAACCTTGTTTGTCTTCGGCTTAGTCAGTTTTATTTAAGATCAATATTTAAAAAATCACAAAATAAAATCTGATATGATTTGTAGGCGATCAGTAAGTATAAAATAAAAATTTTTATTCAGTCATATGGTAATTATGACACGTGAAATTATGTGCACTCGATATTTGATTATTGTGATATGGTATGCAATTGGTAAGATTTTATGACCGAATCGAATATTTTATCTTTCTTTTTTTATGTTATTATTGAGCACTTTGATGTGTGCTTGATGAATAAATGTCTTAGGAAAGTACAGAATTAGTTGTAGTCAACGCTAGAAAGATCAGTTAATTCTCCAATATAGAGTTTTTTATATAATAAGTGTAGGCAATTTCCAATTTCGGTAATATTCGATGATTTCTCATTTGGGTCCCATATCAGGTCGGTCATCATTCATAAAAAAATAAGAAAATGATAAGTCTTTACTTATCTTCTTGATTAGTCATTTAAAGAGTTCATTCTGGAACAGTCATTAGTTAAGCAGAATCGATCTAATAATCTAGTTAAAACTAAATGAGGGTGTCAGTGGTTATTGTTAAGACACACATGCTGATTATCAAAAACGAATAATAAGTAACATGTAATTGACAGCTACACATCGTAATCTACGTATACTTAATTAGCAAAGTTTATAATTAACAAATGAATACGACAAAGCTATAAAAATGTAATTTGTTAATGAGTAAAAACAATCAAATTAATATTTTTCATTATACATATAACATGCCTGTACGTTATATATGTTGGTAACGTTTGTAATTTTCTTGTTATTTTCTTCTATATTAAATATAATCATGAATCATTGTAATTGATAATATTAAGCGAACTGAGAAATCATTGAATTGGGAATAAACCGTAAATGTAGTCTGTCTTAAAACTCATTATATATAAACACCGTTCCTTTTTTGGATAAACTGACCAATCTTCTTTTTTTTTATTTGTAAATAAACAGTTTACTGGAATATTTTCATTCCATTGAAATAGAACTTGTTTGTATTTTTATTTAATTTTTTTTGTTCTCGTGAATGTCTTGAAGATATGATATCACTACATCAGAACTTGGACCTTTTAAGTCTTCGCAAAAAAAATCAATACTTTAGCAAAAAGACCGCTTTCGATAAATATAGATCCATCTATTATATCTTAGCTATAGTTATATGAATAATAATCAAATCTTTGCTGCATATACAAGAGAAGATTCTCTAGAAAAATAAAATCATCTTAAATAATTACTTTATTAACGAGTACTACCTATCATTAAAAAGTACACAACTACATACTTATTTTTTAGGACATCAAAAAGTTTGTTTCATCTATAACTTCGCAATGATTCACTGTTAAACGGTAGAGTGTTTATCGTCATTGTAGTTTCATATAATCTATCAAAATAATAAAAAAAATGATGGTATCTATAACTATGATTCGAACTGCTGAAGAGAGAAGGTCTATGTGGTTAAACAAGAGTTTGTAAAACATGATTAAAGAAAATCGTAGATATACTTTCAGTCAATTGGTTTTTGTTGTTTCATGATGTGGTGTTATGATATCAAAACTTCCGACATAAATCCTAGACTTTTCAGTGTTGATGAAAAAGGATTATTTTTAGAACAGGAACACTTCTGTATAGAATATCCAAAAAAAACCAATTAGTATTTCTAGATTTTGATCATCAAAAATTGCTTTTTATTTGAAATAACTGTGATTTTCGGAATTAGCACGAGAAAATACATCGAAAACTACATTTCATTGGAAAATATCTCTGACTAACATTTTCGTTCTACTCTGTCTCAACTTATTATTCGTAAAATTTGATGGGAACTCTTTTCCAATGAAATATTGAGCTTCCATTATATCTTTGGATATTAATTCCGAAGATCAGGCTTATTTTCAATAGAAAAAAACTTTTGATAATCAAAATCTAGAAATACTAATCGCTTTTTTTTGGGTATTTTACGCGGAAGTGGCTCTGTACTAAAAACAATAATTTGGTTCTTTTTTTTACTAAAACCGTCGCATCATTCACAATCAAAAACTAATATTTGTTCAGGACTTAAAGATATTCTGTTAAAAATTGAATAAGCCGAGAACGCAAGCAGTTAGCGATCTGCGAGTTTCAGTAATCGAAAGAAGAGACATGCGGACGTCTTTTTCTCCGATAATATATAAGACAAAATCCTTTTAAAACTAATCATCCCCGAAAAACATTCAAAAAAAATGCATGAAAATTTGAAAAACAGTAAGAAAATTCTCTTTGAAAATCAAAGCAATTTCCTAGTATTTGAGTAAGTCAATACATGATTTCATTTGTTTAGCGTTAGGATGCGGAAAGACAACCATTTATATTGTGTCTTGAACGATAGATTTGAAGCTCTTCTATCTAAATCGTATGTCAAAATCAAAATTTCATCAGAACGGCAAATCATTTTCTTGCGTTTTTTCGAATGTTTTCCGAAGATGATTAGTTTTAAAAGGATTTTGTCTTACATATTATAGATGAAAAAGACGTTCCTATGTGTCCTCTTTCAATTGCTGAAAACGGCAGATCGATAACTGCTTGCGTTCTCGACTTATTCAATTTTTAACCGAATGTCTTTAGGTAAGTCCTGAACCGATATTTGTTAAACAAAAGAAAAGCTAACGGGGACGGACCATGAAGAAGGCGACACTTACCTTGTTGATTTTGACTGATCATAAAGTCAACTTTGATGTCAATAAATATACCAAGCCTTTGAGTAAGTTGACAGAGTTTATGTTTTTATTTATCATGGATCATTAAGGATCTGTAAATATTGGTGTCAAATTACATCAAGATTAAAAGGTCAGGTAAATAAGATTACCTTGTTTTTTTTCGTCTGTAAAAAATAATAGAGCTTTTTAATCATTCGAAATGAATTTAAATATCTTCTAGTTCACATGTCTCAATACAGACTGGTAAAGTTTATTTGCATAATCATTTTAGTTATATCAAATGGTCAATCGGAAGCTACATGTATAAGAAGTATTGATGGTGAAAATATGAAATTTGTCTGTTCGAGTTCAAAAAAAGTGGACAAATTTGATATCGATCATCTTTCGAACTTCACTTTGGATCGTATTAAAAAATTTCAAGTTATTGGAACAGGTATTCGAGGTCCTTTAACATTTATTCCAGATAATATTTGTCGTTTAACACAACTTAAAGTAAATATTAATAAAATTAATATTTATTTCATTACTTGAGTTTTTTTCTAAATCTAGTACTTGGATTTATCTAATAATCAAATATCTAATGGTGTGTTGAATTCATCTTTATCATGTTTATCTCAATTAGAAACTCTTGATCTGAGTAATAATTTTATTCGTGAAGTTCCTGTTGAATTGATTTCTCAATTATCATTACTTAAATCAATTGATTTATCGCAAAATTATTTAACTACTATACCTAATTCTATGTTTTATAATATTTCAAATATTGAAAACTTTGATGTATCTTCAAATAATTTAACAACATTTGAATTGTGGTTAGTCCAAATAAAAAAATTAATTAATTATTCTAATAATCGAGTAAATTGTTTCACAAATAATTATAATGTTGATTTTTCAAATTATCAATCAAATATTACTGAACGAATTCTTTTAAGAAATACTCAAACACGGATTTCTTTTGATGATAGTCTTTTTGAAATTTATAATCGCTGTCAAGAAATTACTTCAACAAATAATAGAGTTTTGATGAAAGCTATTAAAACAATACATGACAATAATAAAGGTTTACTTAATTGGAATTGTTCATGTGAACAATATTATTTACAAGAATATATTGTATCAATTGATTCTACTAATAATTTTTCCACATGGGCTTGTGCTCAAGATCCAAGTACCAATTATGGTCAAAGGTGTAATTACCAATCATCATTTAATTCTGCAAATAGCAATCCACGTTTATGTAAAATTAAACCAGATCCAAGTTCGGTATGTTTTGAATTAAGTTTTTTAAAATTAACTAAGGAGGGAAGGCTTCCAAGTGTGACGCGCCGATCAAAACGGTATTTTACCTACAAGTGGATGTCAGGGAGACTAGAAGAAGTCTAAAAAGCTTCATCCCGATATGCTGTTCTTCTCAAGTTACACACCATTCTCCTCTATTATCTGTTTCAGGCAACGCATATATGAAAATGCACAAAGCTTCAGGTCAAAATTTTATAAGTGGATTTTTTTATATATGTTTTGCCAAAGGCAGAAAATACAGGAAGACAGTCGTAACTCGAGAAAGACAGCGTATAAGGATGAACCCTTTTAGACTTCTTCCAGTCTCATCGAGACTTACTTGTGGACAAAATATCGACTTGATCGAGGCGTCACAGTCGAAGGCCTTCCTTTGTGAGTGGATGTTAATATATAGATTTTTATAAAAAAAAAAATAGCTAACAAATTGTGTTAACATTCAATTTCTGTTATTGTTTGTCGTACTTTGTTCATGATTTATCTTTTTGTTCGAGACATTCATGAGAAATTAAATTTATCTCGTTTTATTTTTATATTTTTCAAGCTACTATGACTTTCATATTGTTTACTGGTTTTCATTCTTTTTGGTTCCTTTAGTTCTCTTAGATGTGAATGGGCGTATTTCCTTCACTCACACCCAAAAGAATTAAAAAATTCTTATAAGTTTAACAGGTGTGTAAGCATAAAAGTAAAACGGAATAAATTTAATTTTTTGTGGGTCAGTATTTTTTTTTATCAGCAAGTAAATAAAATATAATTTCTAATCATAATGGAAAATCTAAAATTCTTCAATCATTAAATTAATAACATGTTATCTAATCTATGGTAAATTTCGAATTGATAGACTTTCAGAAATAAGAAAAAATCTTTCGATTTATAATCTATTAGAAATGTATAAGAATTCGTTTATGATAAAATAACTAAAGAAACAAAACATTGTACAATTTTTATCAAATATTAGGAAATTTTTTGATTTTTTTAGGATTTGGAAAGTATTTCATTGGAAATTTATAACCAAGTATGTCTATAATTAATTTAATTATAGAAATTTGAAAACTGTTTCTTCAATTTTTAGTTATTGAGGTTTAATCAATCCAATATAACAACGGTCGATGAGTTTGCTGCACTAATCGATCAATCTAATGATAGATTAAATCAAATCTCTAATCAACCAGTTACTGAATCAATTCAAAAAAATTTTCAAAAAATAATTTCTTATATTGAACGTTATCTTGAATCAATCAATAAAAAAGAAAATACTAGTAAGAATTCAGTTGGTATTTTAAGTCTTTTAAAAACTAATAATTCAATCTATTCTTATTCTCAAATCAATCAAAACAATTCACTTTTATATTATTCAACGGAAATAAATAATACAAATTCAATAGCAAGTATTACAATTGATCCAATATCAATTGAAAATTTATCTAGAACAGATATTTATACATTTTATTATCTTCCATCAATATTTTTTCGTTATGCACAAAAAGATCAAAACATAATTATAGCTTCACCTGTTGTTGGCCTACATATACCGAATAACTCTCCACGTTCTATTAATATGTCATTTATTGACAATAAACTTTCATCTGGAAAATATTTCTGTGTATTTTGGCAATATGATCAATGGAATGATACTGGTTGTTCTTATTCTTTAGATTCTAATTTAAATCGTCATTATTGTTTTTGTAATCACACCACATCTTTTGCATTAATATTTATTCCACATAAAACTCTGCGTGATACCCTTATACCAAGTATAATTATTGCTATACTGTCAATAGTATGTTTTTCTATATCAATAATTCTTTCAATACATCGACAAGCAAAATCTTTTCATCATCTATCAATAGCAAATATATTTAGTTTATCAAATTCAATAATTTTATTTATATTATTAACTATTATTTTAATTCGTAGTTATAAATCATCAAATATAGAATTAATAGTTCAAGATAAATGTTCACTACATTCAAGAAATTTAGCTATTGCAACGTATTTTTTTTTCATATTAACATTTGCAAGTAAAACTTTACTTGGTATTGGATATTTTTTAACAATAATTTTTCATTTTATTTTTATTGAATTTACAATTATCTCTAATAAATGGTTTTATGCAAGTTTTTTTCTTATTATTCTTATTTCGTTAATACCAACAATAATAATCAATATAGTTATAAATCGATGGACAAATTTATTTCTACAATATAAAGATATATGTTGGTTTAATAAATCATTTATATTTCGATTTATTTCAATACCAATAATTATTTTTCTTGCATTAAATGTATTAATTATAATTGGAATAACTATTCGTTTAATTCAATTTTTTATTGGTCGTAAAATGTCACAAACAAATCAAAAACGAATGATTGTTTCAATAATGATATGGATTACATTATGTATATCATTAGGTATTGCTTGGATATTTGGACCATTTTTAGATTTAATGATCAAAGAAAAAACTCAAACATCATCAAAAATTACACAATGGATTTTTGGGCTTTTTAATGGACTTGAAGGTGTATGGGTATTAGGTGTTAATGTAATTTTTTATTTAAATCAAAAATTGAATATGAAATATCATGGGACAGTTTTGAATAAAGTTAAAAACTAATCGTTTTAAAAAAGAAAGAGAAAAGATAATTATCTTTGAATTTCTTTTCTTTTCTTTTCTTTGATTTTTTTTCAGAATGCATATTCTGGTTTTTTTAATGGACAAAAAGAAAGAATCATGTTTTTGGCTCGTCTTCTTGATTGCGTATATTTTCCTTAATTGAAGAAAAAAAGTGTTCGTAAAGTAGAATCGACTGGAAGAGACGGAAGTGGTCACGCATTGAAAAATGTCCGCAAAACGGAATCCGGTGAGATGGTGAGAGAGAGAAAAAACACGTTCGCATTAGAAAAACAAGCGAAAATAAATATAATGGGTGATCGGAAAATTTTTAGACAAGATGTTTGTTGATTTTTGACATACTTCCGATAACTCAAAAGCTATGAGTTAACATGTTCTGTTTGCGATTCGAAACTAAAAGTTGCAATCTTTATTTATATATGAGCTTCCAGATCAAAAGCTACCTTAGAGAATACACTATTTGAAATCTTTTGTGTCTTTCGACAGGACATCTCAAATTTCATTTTTTCTAAATATTCATTATTGAAAAATCGACAACTGTTTTACGTTGAAAAGAGCTCTTGAAAAATTTTTCGGTAAAAAGCTACAGCTTATTTCAATATTACATTTTATAGAGAAATGTCTACTCTAAAATACGACTGACTCGAACAATTTTTAGCATGTTCTAAAAAGGAACTTATAGGATAGACAAAAACTTATTGGCTCAGCATTAAAAATAATTTTTCAGATCTTTAAAAAAGTTCCTCATGACTTTCGAATAAAAATAGAGACACCATTTCTAAGCCCATACTCAAATTCTAGTCGGGACCTATTCTAAAATACTTTTAAGCAGGCCAAAATGAATAAACATGTTCACAGGAAACGTCGACCCATAATTTCCATCCAAACTAATTTTTGGGCTTTTCAAAGATTATTTTACTACTCTTGGAGAAAAACGGAGATAACATTTCTAAGCTCATATTCGAAAAGAGCATCTTAACTCATAGCTTTTGACTCTTAGGAAATACGTTAAAAATAAATAAACATCTGGTCTGGAAACTTTCCGACCATCTATTATTAAGATTCTCAGCACAGGTAGTTCGATTTTAGATTAAATGTCACATCCTTTGAGGTAGTCTCATATCAAATGTCGTGTATCGTTCAGACTTTTTTTTTAAGGATGTGATGCGAACGTGGCTTGGAGTGTAGATATGCATGTAACGATGAGGGTGAGAGTGAAAGAATATCCACGCTCTATTCAATTATGTTTGATTAATCCTTTTTCCTTAATTGAACAAAACAATAAATGTTCACAATCAAGATGTAACCTCTGTTTGGCATTCTTATTCTTTGTATTGTTGATTCTATTGTCTTTTTTTCTTTAATCGAACAAGGCAATGATGAATTTAAAAATAATTTTATTTGTCATGTTTTTTAAAATATTGACTTTCTGCCTACCAGTTATTTTGTAAAATTGAGTATGATTTTTACGAAACATAATCTTGTTGTTTGTCAGAATCTTAATTATTTGAAAAGAAATTTATGATTTTATAGAAGACAAATAAAGCGATTTTGCGATCTGACCAGTAAAAAAAACAAACAGGTATGTCACCCTCTCTTTGTTGATATTGAGATTAGAAAGATTTGACTTGGACTTAAATTGTTTATACCAAACTTTGATGAATTGAAGTTCAGACATTTTTGAAACGATGATTCTATTAAATTCTTTACGATTTAAATCATTTATTTTTATTCATCAAACTTTGTTGAATATTCTTCGAAATCTGACGAAATCTTTATCATGAAATAAAACAAAGTTCATAACTCTTTATATTTCAAATCGTAAAACTTCCAACAATAGATCAAACAGATCACAATATAATCATAATTTTTATTAACTGTGTTTCAATCAGATATAATTCAATCATTTAAAATTCATCCTATCAAACACTTAACTATTTTATAAAATAAGAATTATTTACATTACTACAATTATTGATCGATAGAAAATATCATTTCTAAAACATCAAGAGAATAAAAAAGAACATTTTTTTGTAAAATTATTTAATATATGATCGAAATAATTTACATCTTCAAAATATTTTTTCAAGAAGATATATTTCAAAAAAAAAAGATAAACGAGATACAATAAAAATAATTTTGTATACTTTATACTAGAAAAGAATCCTGTGTCAATTATCATAGAGTATTTTTTTTAACATCTTTTTGTTTGCTATTTCACATGACAATTTAAAATGTTCATTTCTCTTAATCAAAAACGAATACCAAAGAAAAACGATATGTAAAAGAATCTGTTTCAAGTTATATTCATCAGACTAATATTTGTAATTGTTTTTCGTCTTTTATTTGGTATTTTATCTATTCATAGGTTTTAATAAGCACAGATGATAATTAAATATATGTGTCTACGGTCAGTTATAATAAATGATCGTACATTCAACAGAAAATATCTATAAAAAATGTTTCGTTCTTTTCTGTAATTAAATTATTGCAAATCAATATAGTGTAAACAAGAAATATAGATATATTTAGAATTGAAAATTTTGAACATAAATGTTAATGTATAAGACAATTTATATCAAGGAGAAAAGTACAGATTTGGAACCCTCAGCACCATTTCAACATCTTTCCGTATTGAAGGTGCTGATACATATTCAGAATTAGACTGAAAATCAAGGCGATAGCTATGAGTGAGTCATACTATTTCAAATCGATCTTTCGAAAAGAACAGTTTTTTTTTATAAGCTTTCCAGGGTCGATAAATCTGAATCTTTAATCAATTTTTTGAAATTCTTGAGTTTAACTGTTTCGATTAGTAGAAGTCTATTTTGTTTAGCTTACTCATGCTTCAAAATATTCAGTTATTTGTTTGAAAAAGGCTTTTCTTGACTGAAAAAATCGAACTAAAGAATTACGAAGAACCGATTAGAAATTCAGATTTCTCGACTCTGAAAACATTATAAAAATCGTTATTTTCAAAAAATCGAATTGAAATAGTATGAGTTTTTTGCCACGTTATCAATAAAAATTATCGTTATATGTTCATTAAATATATCTCATCAAATTTATTAAAAATCCGCACCCACACTCAATACCTTAATATATATCAATAAAGTTGGGTATCTGTTTTACTGGATATTGTGACTTGTAGCTCGTCGTTACTCAGCATATGGATATTATGACAAGGGTACTGAAAAGCTCAATGAAAGAAAATGAGACAATCAGTTTTACTTTCTTGTAAAACAACAAAACTTATGAAATAAACTTTTTCAAAACATAATCAAAATTTTAAAGTTACAGTAAGACTTCACTTATCTTTTATTAACAATAAAAGAGCATCAATTAGTATAAGTTGTATTGTCTATAGTGATATTTTAATTGCTGAGCTATACTTTTCATTTATTTAAAAGAAATATAAATTTTAAAAACAATTTATAATTTTCTTTCTGCATCATATTCGAAACAATAACTCGCTGTTTCTGTGTTTTGCTTATTACAAAACACCTAAAATAGAAATAAAACAAAAACAAAAGAAAAATTCACATGAATAACAATTTCATGTAATATAACAATAATAGAAAAAAAAATGAAAAATTAAACTTCTGTAATATCAGATGAACTACTTTGTACATCTTTTCGACGGGTTGATGCTGATGTCATTTTTAATGATTTGTTTGCATTAGACGTTTCTTGAATATCTTCATCGAGACGTTCCATACGTTTTTGTGGAATAGGAATTTTTTTCTGTCGACGATTTCTTTTCGATTTTTGATTATTAGTTTCTACTTGTATATCACTTATAGTAGATGATGGTGCAGTATACACTTGATCTGATGGAACTGGAAATCGAAATGGTGAAATAGTTGGTATTCGTCGAGTTTTACCATCACTTGATGTTGATGGAGCTTGTTGTTGTTTTGGTATAGTCATAAGAATTTGTGGTGTGAGAATGGTAGCTGTGGAAACTCTATCTACTAAAGGTTGTTGTGATGGTGTACCATAGATATAACAGTGTCGTCGTCGTTTTTGGAGTTTTTCTACCTGATTTTGACGCCATACTTGCATATGTTGATCATGACTCATTTGTGTACATAATGTTGGAGAAGTTACAATGGACGAAGCTGCTAGAGGATAATCAGCTGTAGATTGATTTGAGGTGGATACAGGTTGAAATAATGATGATGTGAGAAGTTCTCGTTGTAATGCACGTCGGATTGGATAATCATTTACTTGTTTCTCACGTGATCTTGTACTAGTATCAGATGGTGGATGAACAATAACACTAGGTGAAACATGAAAACCAAGACTTTGATCACTTAAGGTCGTAGTCATTAGATTTCGTTGTTGTTGTTGATTATATGCTGAAATTATTGTAGGTGTTTGTGATACAGATGAAATATGAGGTGAATTCATTTGTTCAGCACTAACATCATATAACATACGTGCACGATTTGCAATATATCGTTCAGCTGGACTTTGTGGATAATCATTAAGTAAAGATACAGGCACAGAAAATAAACGATGAGTTGATGGAGGTCGTCGTTCTATTGGTGTTGGTATATCTGATGTTAATGATCCTAAGCTTAAAGAAAAAAAAACAAACAAGCTAAATACGAAATGCTGATTTTGTTTTTTGTTTAAAATATGTTTCCGTGAGATCTTAAAATCATTAAATTGAAGATATATATGTGCACAAGTCAAAAATGACAAATTTTCTTTAATTTGTTTTGTTTAAATAAAATGACCCACATTGTAGCTTTAGAGCAGACATATCCATGGTGATGCAACTGTGATGTGGGAGATGTTTCAAAAATACTATCACTCAATGGTAGCTTTTTCTTTAAGAAGATGGTAAAATTGCTTGAATTTGCATCTGATTTGAGAGTCTACATGTTCAACAGTTAGAATCATTGGGAATCTGATGAATTGAATCTAATTGTGCTAATTTAGCACAGTGACAGCAGAGATTTTCGAAGAATTTCTCGAAAATCATGTCAACAGTGGCGCAATAACCTTGTCTCTTCTAGGGCTGAGGCGCAGTATCGGTAGGTTTCCAGTCGCGAGGGTCATCTATGTTTTACAGTAAAACTGAAAAGAACAGAAATTTTTCTATCTAACAAAAATATTTTTTTTTTAATAAAATATTTAAGATGTAAAATATAGAATAAACTTACCCTCTACGTTCTCCTGGTACCAGAGATTCTATTGTCTGCATAGTAGTTTCTGGTTCTTCAGCTGTAGTAGTCGTTAGAAATTGTTGTTCATCAATAAGACTACTTCTTTGTAAATGTAAATGAGCAAGTCGACTTTGTATTTCTTTTCTTAAATCAAATAGATGATAATTTCTAATAAGTGTATAAAGAAAATGCCAACGAAAGCGTAATCGTTTCTTTCGTTTAATTCTTTCAATTTCTTGATCTTTTTCTGATTTAATTGAAGTATTCATTGTTGAATTAGCTGTTGGCAATGTAGGAAATGATGTTGGTTGAGATCTTAAAAGATGAGATTCGTCTGGTCTTTCTTCTTGTTCTTCTTCTTCTTCTTCTTCTTCTTCCGTTTCGACATTGGTATCATCTTCAGTTTGTTTTTGTTCTTCTAATTTTTGTTGTTTATTTGAATAACTGGATGAAGTTTTTAATGATCCTATTTTTGAATAAGAACGATTACTAATACTCGATCGAATTGTATCATTTACTATTTCAGAATAAGGACTATCATCATCATTTGTATCTTGATGCATACGTTGTATGGGAGAAATATATGGTCGATGTAGGGTTAGTGGTGGTGTATTTTCTTGAGCTTTACGATATGAAATTGTTCGTAAAAAATATGAATCAAGTGGAGTTGTTGCTAAATTATATGATGGTGGTGAATAGACTGTTGTTGGTCGAACAGCAACATCTTCTTCTTCTGTTCGAACTGTGTCTTGATGATATTTGTCTGTAGATTTCTTAGCTTTTGTATGTTGACTAGAATCAGGTTTTTTTCGTACTTTTCGATCAATAATTTCATATGATGTTGAAGTTGTATCTTGTTGAGGTTTAGATGATCGTGTAGTACTATCAAAAGTATTATCCGATGATGAATCTTGTTTTATTATTTGATTGTTTCGTATAGGTTGTTTAGATGGAATGATCATTTTAATAGTATTAGAAGTTTTAGCAGTACGTCTACTATTGTCATCTTCTTTCGAAATGTTTGATTTTGAGATATCTTTCTTTGATTTATTCGAAATTTTCTTTTTGTTTGATTGTTGTTGTTTTAGCGCGCCATCATTATCATCGTCGTCTTCAATTATCGCTGTTTGTGGTGATTTCTTTTTTCTTGTTTCCGATCGTTGTTTCTTCTTTTCAGCTGCTACTATTATTTGTTTAGATAGACTGCTGTCTTCATCTTCATCTTCATGAATTTGTAATTTTATTGATTTTTTCTGTTTCTTTTCTTTAGTTTTATATTTTGGCTTTGATATATTTTCATCTTCATCTTCGTCTGTTTGATTATCTATATTTATTTTTGATGATTGTAGAATTGATGATAAACGTGTTTCTTTTTGTGAAATAAGTTTTGCAACAGTTGGATATGGTTTTCGTTTCAAACTTCTATCACCATCAATTCGATCATCACTTTGATCTTGTTCGAATGGTAGATCTTTACGAATTGGTATTGGAGGAGCAGAACTAAATTGTAATTGCTGCCGAGAAGTAGATCCAGTACTAGTCGAAGCATTACTTTGTTTTTCTTCGTTGTCAATATTTGACTGTTTTTGTTTTGTTTTTTTACTAATATTCTTTCGATTTTCTTTAGTAGATATCTAAGAAATATAAATGAAATAAAAATAAAATGAAACTATTCTATTTTTTTCCTACTATGGATCCACGTTGAGATTCTGTTGTTAAAAGATCTTGTTGCTGTTGGTTTGTTTCTATTTGTGATGTTCTTTTCGATATTGGTTTATCTACATTAGAAATAGTATTAACTTCTACTGATCCATCATTGTTATTTCGCCGTCTGTATGTAACTGGTGGAGAATTTTGTGTTAAATCTGTTCTGTTCTGTTGTAGTTGATTTTGTCTTACAGTCTCAGTTTCATTGTCATCATCAAGTTCACCTGGAGCAATACAACATTCATCATCATAACAATGTTTTGGTCGCCGTTGAATGATATCATCAAAAAGTGAATAACAAAAAGCTAAGAAAAACAATAAAAATAAAGGAGCATTCTGTGTTTGCTTTAACGCACTAACCGAGCATTACTGGATTGGTATATGTTACTTCCATATGCAAATACGAGACATAAGCAGCAAAACCGAGGTCTAAAATATGATATAGTAGAAAAGAAAAATCATAAGATAGATATTTTAGGATTTTGCAAATATGAAATTTCAATTTCAATTTCTATATCTTTTCTCTTCTTTAACAAAAGCAAATAAGGTCAGATCGTTAGTCGTTATTGGTTTATCAAGAAGAATATACGGTTATTGAAATGCTTTATTTAATTGACTTTGTCTAAACATCGATATCCAATCGCGGCTGAAAATCTGTCACGATAGTTTGCGAGAAATTCTTCAAAAATCTCTTCCATCAATGTGCTAAATTAACACAGTTAAATTGAGCCTATCAGATTCACCATGATTCTGATTGTTAGACTTGTGGACACTCGAATCTGGTGTAAATTCATACAATTTTACAATCTCCCTAAAAAAGAAGTTGTCACACCCACGCCCATCACTTTTTACTAACGAACATCTAATGATATCCGAACAAAATTATCTCATGATATAAATATTCGGAACAAATTAGAATGAAGTATCTCATTTCATATGAAAAAAAATGCCATATTATGGAACTATATGCTTCTTTTTTTATTGCTATCTAATTTATTTGACTCATTCATACATTTCATCTTTGCCCACTAGAATAATTCATTTTCTAGCATTAGATGGATGTTAAGAGATTTCTCCCTAACATGGTGTTACTAGATAGCTTACCAAATTTTTCTAATGGTCTTCCCAGAAAACTCCAATCAAGTCGAGCCATAAATACAACATTAAGAAATGTTGCTTTAATCAATCGAATAATGCATGAAGCCATACCAAGAAAACAATCTTCAAAAATAAAAAAGAATACAAATATCTCATTACATTTTTATTGTTGAAATTTACCAGCAAAAAAACTGAAATAAATAAATATTGCATAGGTTTTACGACTTTTTAAATTCAATTTATTATCTAATTTTTGTATAAAAATAAACTTTCCAGCTGATGCCATACTAAGCATTTTTAATAGATAAATAACAAGTATAGGTACAATAATAGCAAGTGCTAATTCAATTTGACGAATTTGTAATGAAAGAATTTTTATTCCAATCAATATTAAAAGTATTAAATGAAAACAAATAACAAAACCCCATGCCATATATCCAACAAGAAAACCAGAATAATGTACAGAATTCGATGCTATTGAACTTCGTTTAAAATTGTCTGCTGATGGAACATCAACATATATACCTTTATATAATTGTAGTTTATGTTTTTTATAATTTTGCATTCCAATAAATAATTGAAATCCGTATATAATTGCTGTTATAATAGCACTTAATATTATTTCACGTTTCAAAGTAAACGAATCATCTAATTCTATATGATCAAAACAAAAAATAAAACTAATTAAATAAATTATTTTCAATGAACATTCAAACTACTCACCAACATTTGCTGAGTGTTCAATATAAGATCTTATAAATGAAATATGTCCTGTTGTTCTTGCAATGTATAGAAAAACAAATGTACATGCCAAATAATATAGAAAAACGATAGCTACTGTATAAGTACAAGTTGCGATTGTTGTAAAACGAAAATCATCATCCCAATAATAGAAAAAATCAAAAAATTTTTTTATACGTGATTGATTAATTACATTTTGTTGATTTGTTTCATGTTCATAATCAATTAGACTGTCAGTATTTGGATTTTGTCGGATAATTATTTGAGATGTCGGACGATTACGTCGAAATAATTTTGTAACATAATATTTTGCAAATTCTGATTCATCTAATTGGGCAATAGGGGCTGACCAAATACTTTTCTTTTTTTTTACTGGTACATATATTGAATCATATACAAAACGCACACATAATTCAGCACCAATATATGAAAGAAAAAAGAAATGTGGAATATTTTTTATTAAACCATATATAATAAACCATGTACCAAGTTCCTAAAAAATTAATTTAAACAATTTCTTGATTTTATCTTAATGAAGATTTGTTAGATATCAGCAATATAAACTCAATATTAATTATTTAAATATTCAAAAAACAATCATATGTTTATTAGTTAAGATGTTTTTCTTCGGATTTAAATAAAAGATCATCGGATTGTCACTTGTCTAAAATTCGATAATTAAATTCAATTGTCATGTTTGACATGCCAATAGTGGATAAAACTCTCCACATCCTCTGCACTTTAGCTAACATATGTGCTGGAACGTTGAAAAATTAGTCTATACATACGTTACTAAGAATGTAGGTTAAAAACACAGCCGCATCTCAATTGTTGAAGTAATAAAGAGAATTATCATGAATGTTATTGGATAGTACTTATTACTCTTTTGAACAACTCTGAAAATGAAGTACTTTGTAAGTCACTCGATTCCTCATTATATAATATTACATTTTAGCTATCTACGACTATTGATTTAATTGGATTTCATCGAACCTTCGTAGAATTGTGATCGTCGGTCTGAAGAATAATTTAAACAATAATACAAAACGGTGCTTGAATCGATTCTACTTTTATGCAAATATAAATATCTGATGCATATTCATCATTTTTTAATGTATTCAATTTTATTAACTTACTCTACGAAGTTTTGCTTCTTCCAAAACAGTATATTGTCCTGATAATGGTAGAAAACCCATACATGAACCTTCTCGTACAATTGTATATACAATATCACAGAGTATATATAAACAAGAGAAAAAACGAGCAACAATATTTCGTAATTGTAGAGAAGCAAGCACCGGATAATATCGAAGTCTAAATAAATTCAAGATTAAAAACAAAACAAAAAAAAAGAAATAATTATTTTATTTTTCTTTGAAATTCTATACCCGACAAGAATGACTACAGCTATTCGTTCCAATAATTCAACAAGTACACCTTGATGTGCTGGTTGACCAGCATTAAAAAGTAGTTCTTCAAAAATTTTTAATACTTCATATGCAATAATTCCAAAAACAGTTGCTGTCGTAAAACGATTTCCTGTACGAAATGGTTCAATTGGTGGCAATAAACCTAAAGAAAACTTTCATTAACAGAAAACAAAAAATCTCAAATCTATATTTTACCAGGTCGACGATCACACATATCTAAACATTGTTTATCTCGTTTCATTGACCAAGAAAAAATAAGTATTAAAGTCAATGCAAAAGGAGAAAATATTAAATTTCCTCTTCGATAATCTGATATACTTTCACATTGTTTAACTAAATGAATTGTATCATTAATTGAGAATTCTCCTTCTTTTTCATCACTTATATAATATACAAATGATTTTAAATACATTATTGTTGTTATTAGAAATAAGATTGATAAAAGTAATACACTTAAAAGGCCAACCCAAATACTACGAACAAGATTACGTTTAATTGGATTTAATAATGGATTTGTAGTTCTTGGTAAACTAAAGAAAAAAAACAGGATAAAAATTTTTGAAGATTGAAAATTAAAATGAAAAAAACTATCTTAGAACGAGAATTATTAATAGTTATATAGCTGTAAATTAAGTTAGAAAAGTGCATTTAATCATCTATTGTGATCAGGCTTTTTATGTATCAAGTCAAATTTAATATTGCATACGTTATGCATCGATAGATTTCTTGTCTAGTACATTCAAATGAAGAAAGACATTGATTTTTAGTTAAGTATAAGTAACTTACAGAAATTCCATAATTTCTTCAGCAATCGTTGGACGACGTTCTTGTAAATGAAATGTTCCATTGTTTTGTTGTAAATGAGCTGCATCAGTGATTTTTATATCGTTATCTGATCTTTAGGCATAATTTTTATTTATTTTTGATCATAAATTTAAATGATAATTACCTGTCTCTGGATACTAGATGTTGTCTATCATCACTACTATCTACTTTTGTCCGTTCACGTCCTTGACGACATTTTTTACAAAACCTATTAGAAAAATAGATGTGAAATATGCACACAACAGGAAAATTATTGGTTATTTAAGAGAGCTTCCATGAGCCCATCGAGCCTCGTTACTATATACGAGGCACTCGATAAAAATTTTTTTTTGATTTTTTTTTTGCTCATTCGAAACATCAGTGTCTAAAACCACTAACCCCAAAAATTTTAGGTTTTAATACCATTCCTATGAAAAGTTAGCCAATACTGACTTTTAGCACTA